ACCATTAGCTGAATGTACTATCAATAAAATTCTGGGTCGCAAGTACTCACCTTAATATTTAAAAAAAAAAAAAAAAATATCAATAATAATATATGTCATAATTCATCAGAATTAAATTTACTTTATTGATAGCTTAAATATACAGTTCCAAGTTTTCACTTTGCAGCACTCAAATACCAAGAAAAATGAACATTGTCAGATATCGAAAATCAAAAATTCAATAATAACTAAAAATAAAGTAATTAGCTAAATTTATCATATGAAATAAAAATATATACAAATATAAACACAAAGTCTGGTATATTACTTCTCTATAATATTCTTTACCATACTTCAAATAATAATAAATAATTCAAGTAAGTTAAATTCTGAATAAGTATCATGTTAAATACATATTAAGTTAAAGCTAAATAGATTAAATAAGTGATGCGATTGTAATAGAAAATTAATAATAATTCAGCAATATTGTAAAATAATGACAGCATTGCCACAATTCAGTAATTTTGATGTTAACTATAACATACTGTTGAAATCTGATGCAATACTTTTTTTTATAGAAATGTTTAATAAGATAGACATTTGTATTAGAATATTTTTAGATACCTTTTTAATAAATTCAACAAAAAATCTGATTAGCTCATCTAATAGTTAGGCTAGCTTTTTGTTAATTAGATGCTTTGGAGTTATTATGCTAATTCTAAACAATGAATATATTAAATGCAAAATGAGTGATTTGTTAAGTTAGTTTTAGCTAAAATATATAATCATATTAAGTACAAAATAAATAATTGAGTGGATATGTGGTCAAGCTAAGTTAAAGGAATCGATTACATTAAAAATAGATTAAAAAAAAGTATAAATAGCACAGTAATTTTTGCATACCTTGTATTTCATCTTCTTATCTTGCACTGTATTGTACTTGCTTTATATTATCTTTTTTACTTTCTTTTATAAATATAAATACATATTATCTTTATATTTTCTACTACTACTTGCTTATATATATATATATTGAATTATTTTTTAATGATGAAAGATTCAACATTATCTCCTAATGATACAGTCTCTAATATCTCAACACCAAGTGAAATTAGATTAGAAATAGTTGGTAATATATATGCCATCAAAGACCACTAGAAAAAAATAACACATAATAATAAAAGTGTTTGGAGATGCCTTTATTGTAAAGAAAAGCAGTTTTCAATAAACACAAGTAGAATATACTTAAAAGAACATACTTTGAAATGTTCTACATATTCACTATCTGAAACTTAAAGAAGTGTATTCTAGCAGATTAGCAGAAGCAAAATAAATAAGTTAATAATTGACTTGGTTGTTAGAAAAGAAATGTCTTTCAGTATTATTGATAATTCATTGTTTTATCAAGTGGCTAGAAATCTTCATCATGTTACAAATTCATGTAAAATTCCACATTCAACATCAATATCATGACATATTACAGATAATATATTCAATTTAAGATTTGGCTTTATCAAGAATATACTAGCAAAGTCTCATGGAAGAATCTTATTAACATGTAATTGGTAGCATTTAACTATTCACAAATGCCATTATATTGTTGTTAAGGCATCATGAATTAGTACCGATTGAAGGATTGTTAACATCATATTAAGTTTTCAAAAATCAGTCCAAACAGCAGAAGAAATATCATCAGTAATAATGAACATCTTAGAAAAATATTTTATTAAGAAAAAAATATTTACACTTACTATGAACAACACTACTACAAATAAATCTGTAAGTCAGTTATTTCAAAATAGGCTGCAAAATAGAGATTTAATATCAATAGGTTTGACTTTTTGTTTAGTTTATTATTATATTATTATTATTGTTATTATTATTATTTTAAATTTTTTTTTTTTTTTTAGGATACATATGTCACATCTTAAATCTCATCATTAAAAAGTGCCTAAAAGATATAAACTCATTATAAGAAAAGGTTCACAAAATTATGAAATACTTATTTAATTCCTTAACTAGTGGTCGATTGGAAGTATTGGAGTCATACTGTAGAATTTCTAAAATAAAACCTTTGTGACCTATTCTTAAAATAAACACATATTGGAACTCGATATTGTCTATATTTGAAAGATATTTTTACTTACATCAAGCAATTCACAATATGTGTTCAAAAGATCCATTAGTGCTCCTATACTTGGATGATAAGAACTTGTAATCCTTAGTTCCCTCTGTTAGCTTCTCAGACTATTTGAAAATGCCATGTTAGTTCTTTCTGAAGAACAATCAAACTCAATCTCTGAAGCAGTAATTGTTATATTAGATATTGGTCAGCATATCAATAAGAAAGCCAGGAATCATCATAAAATGAAAAAAAAATTGATGAATACTGAACTACAATTATAGATCATGTTATAATCACACATGTACTTAACTCAAGATGTAAATTGGAGCACTTATATGCAATCTTAATTAAAGTTGATAGATATAATGAAGATGCAGCAAAATTGTTTGTTAATAATATTTAGAAAAAAATTATTTCATATGGAACAAAATATTCAACTGCTGTTGAAGCTGGTAAAATTTCTGAAGCTATTGAAACTGTTAAAATTAACAATATTTTTGCAGATAGTTTCTCATTTCCTAGAAGAAGAATATCAAATAAGCAAAATTATCCGAATACAATTGAAGCTAAATTAGAATTATATAAGATTGAGCCCCTTGAAGAAATCTGACATGATGATGAAGAGAGAGAAAATAAAGAAATACTACCTTGAGAATCTTTATCAAAAAGATTTCTAATACTTGGAAGAATGGTGCATAATTATTTATATATGAAGCCTTCGAGTGTTTCTAGTGAGAGGGCCTTATCAAGAGCAGGCTTTACTATCACTAGTAATAGAGCATCCATTAGTAAAGAAACAGTTTCAAGCACTATACTCATGCATTCATGGTTAACAGAAAGCCAAAATAAGTTTAGTTCCCTTCAGGATCTTCCATAATCTAAACATCTTTTGATTAACCAAATATTGATATAGTATATATATTTATTGTAGTTGTTACACAATTATTTGTAATACAGTACATGTAATAAAAACATTCACTATATATATCCACTATAAAATAACCAATCACATATTTTTTTTTTCTAGTCCAAGCATATACAAAATAAATTATTAATAATAATATATCAAAATTAATGATTAAAGATTTTTATCTCAAGTTACTATTAAAATTTAGATGTAACTAAATTTTTGTAATATTATTTTATACTAATAATGGATAGAATTAAGGTCTAATTAGCTTATTTTTGTAATATATTTCAAGAAATTGCATATTAATTATTAACGATTTAAGACAATCTTTATATATATATTAAAATATTACAAGGCAAAACTTTAGAAGTAAACTTTGGTCATAGAAAGTTCGACTATTTAAGTAAATTCATCAGCACTAAATTAATAATGAATAGTGATGATAATGTTAATAAATTATAGAAAAAAACAAGTTAAAGCTCTCAATATAGTAACTGTGTCTTATTCAAGAACCCATTAAATTAAATAGTACCTTCGAGTATTGTAAGGCATAAGGTAATCTATTTGAAGAATATTCTTGGTTCAAAATGGATGATGTAGGGATTTGGAAAAATTATTATTACATAACATCAAAGAAAATCATTATTACATAACATCAAAGAAAATTATTATTACATAACATCAAAGAAAATCATAAAGATAATATTTTAAATTTCTTCAAAGGGTAGATACTTACAAATATTAAATTTATTATTTTGTATAGGCCAAGTTCATAATATCAGAAGAACCCCTTGATCTCATAATCCTGTTACATTACCTTTAACCATAAAGAGCTCTATTGAATCTATTTCTTCAACTATCTTAAATGATATCGATGAGATCAAAAAATTAGAATAACAAAATTATTACTTTTGAAAGAGTGATCTTTAAACAAAAAAATCAAGTGAAATGGATATTAATTTATAGTAATGTGAGTTCTACCAAACTGCTAAGTTTTTTAGCAGTAACTATCGATAGATATCTTACTTTTGCTAACTGTCTACCAACAGATACTGGTAGAAACTTAGTTATTTGGTAGAATTAATATCACTATTTGGTTCATAATATTTATTTATTTATTCGTTTATTTAAGGAGCAATAAACTACATATACCAAGAACTTTATGTCTGTTTCTAATTTTGTTAAAAAAGGCTGCAAGAAGATGTTTAAGAGAAAAAGGTAAATCTAAAGGAAGATTGTTATAATTTTTGGATATTAAAAATTAAGCTAGGTAGATGAATAATATCTGGTTTTTAATTAATGTTACATCAATTTGTCTATCAAGAAAAAGTTTATTTTATTATAAGCAATGCAAAGAAGCACTAATTAGTCTAAACAGACAGCTAAATAATGCAATTCATTTTAAATATAATGAAGAACTTGCTATGTAATAAAAACTATGAAGAATCTTTTATAAATTTGGATAAGTTACTAAAAATTAATTCAAATAATGTACGAGTAAATAACAGATATCTGTGAATTGGTTGTTTATTTAATGAACTTAGGTGATGATATTCCATTATTTAATATTGTTTATTATTTATTAGATCATAGTGATTGGTCATTTATAATAATTAAATATTATGCATAATTAATACTTTTTGATCTGGACTTTGAGTTATTAAATGTTTAATAATATTGTTAAAAGTTAAATTAAGTTCGAAGTATTTCTTTCTTTTGATTCTAGTGAAGATTTGTACTAATTCTACTTTTTTTTTAATATTTCACAAGCTTACTTTTAAAATGCATATGCATTATCAATTAACTGGTCGGACTAATTTCTATGCCACTTATTATGACTTTAACTTTTTTTTTAGTTAGTTTAATAATCTTAGAATTCCTCTATGTTAATTATTGCCTTAATTTTTATTATTATTATTATTATTATTATTTTTTACAGGTCTCTATAAGCCTCAGTATTTCATTAATATTTAATATTTTTTGTTCTTGCATTGTAGTTGATAAGTACAAAATAGGTTCTTTTGGTGCTTCTAAATATAAGCCAAATGTTAACTATAAATAAAATATTTTGATTTTATCAATTTATATGCTCAAAAAAATGTTTCATTACTTTCTAAACAAATATTATAAAACTATATAGGCATGTCTCTGGTTAAATACAGAAATATACATTTTCAGAGCATTTACACTGGTGAATAATTGAAAAAATTTAGAAGGCCTATACTTAAATATTAGTAGGTCTTTTATAAGCTGGGTTCTTCAGCATTTACAAAGATATAGATGTATTGAAAACTTCTATATCACATTTAGACAAATATAATAAATTTGATTTTTGAAATTTATTTTGAATTAAATTTTTAAACTGGCCATTCATACCCAATTTTTTAATATTAGCATCTATTCAAATAATATTGTTATTAAAAAATTCTGCCAAACATTGCTTCTGAAATTCCAATAAGTTTACCATATAATGCTTGGTCCAGGTCACACTACTGACATTCAATTCACTAATATTTTGTTTCACCAATAATCAATACACAACAAATTCATTTCATGTACACTTATTTCACCAACAATCTTTTTACCATTCCTATTAGGTTAGGTTTAAAATTAAAGTTAAGGTTATTGCAATTTTTAAAAAACCTGTCAGTAAAATTAACTGTTGTGAAATAATTATCAGTAAAATAGACTTGTAGGTGAATTAATTGTTGATGAATAAGATGCTGGTGAATTGATTGTAAGTGAAATGACACAGGCCCCACATATAAATGACAACAAATATTTATTTATTTGGAATGATAATATGTAGTTTTATATGGGATAGTTGTATCTTATTGTCATATATTTAGTAAACAGCAGCTTCTAGTATTGCTAATATATATTTTATTATATCGAGTGATAAGTATAAGCTAGAGGTGTGCTGTATGGTTACATCAAAAAGATGAACAGTTACATCAAAAGTGTCATAACAGCATATGTCATAATATATGTTGAAATTAGGAGTCTGCAACCTGAGCTCATGTCTGTATTTAACGAAAAATCTAAACATAGACATGGACACAAAAATTCAGGCATAGGGTACAAAAAACTTTGTATAAGCATGGGCACAGGCACAGAAACTGGATATTTATTATTTAATTGTGCCTGGCACTTTGCCTGGCACTTATGCCTAGCATTTTGTGCCTATGTCTTTGATAGCATCTGGCACTTTGTCTAGAACTTGTGCCTAGCATTTTGTGCCTATAACTTTGATAGTGCCTGGCACTTTTGTGGCTATAGGTACAGGTACATCATAAGGCACTAGTGCCTAGCCTGGTGCCAATATGCCAGGTATGGGCATTTGCAAACCCCTACCCATGACCATGCCATCCTATGCTCATGCCCATGCCATCCTATGCCTATGCCCATGCCATCCTATACCTATACCCTTGCCCATGCCATCTTATGCCTATGCCCATGTCTATGCCAAATTTTTGTGCCTATGCCCATGTCTTTACCTATATTTTTTATGCTATGCCTATGCCCATGCCCATGCCTGAATTTTTTGTTGGGCATGGGCATGAGCCTGCATTGCAGACCTCTAGTCAGAATATCTGCAATTAATATAGAACTTAATGCATTTAGTTTGTTTCTGTTTTTTTCATAATTGCATGTTTGCCAAATTGTATGTTTATGTTGTTTGACTTGATCTATAATGTTTAGCCATTAATGAACAAATTTCTCTTGAGTAATAGAAGCAATGCTAATTTCTGCTAAGGTGGCTGCTTTTGTTAAATACTGATTGGCTTGGGCTATTGTGTTTGTTGCTATATTTGATAGTTGTTGTAGATATTTGTTAATATTTTTAAAGCTGAATGAAGTTTTGTAGCTTTTAGTGACATAGCAAAGAAAGACTGTAGGGCTGTAAATGTATAAGAGATGTGTTTATTCATTGCTTCTTTTATTTTTGATGCTTAATGATTCCAAGTTTTATCAATATTGTCTTTATTTATATTTGGTGAAGAGGTTTTTTGAGAATTAAATGATATGTTTACTGAGTTTGCAAATTCATTCCATGTGTCTGCTGTAGTTTTTTTATATAAATATATTTTTCTTTGCCTTTTCTTGTTTCTGGGAGCTTTCGGCAAATAGAAATTAGTATGCCATATTGTGTTTAGTATGCGATGTTCACTGTTTGTAATATAAGTAGCATCAATTATCATTGGTGGATTGAAGGCTAAAAATGTATCTGAAGAAATCCAAAAATCATCTATTTGACTATTTGAGTTAGGACTATGCCAAGTAGGTGTTTGTATGTTATAAAAATCTAATAAGCTAGTTAAATTGGCAGCATTTAGGTCAATAAAGATTAAAAGTTGTTTGTTTCTGTACTGGTTTGCATTGAAGTTACCCATGATAATTAGATGCCAATTTCGAGATCTGGTCTCAGCAACCCAGAAATGAATTTGGGATTGTGTCTGCCTTAGAAGTGAAAAATGATTTGAAGAAAAATATGTTGAAATAATGCAAGACTTGTTGTTGTTTGAAAAAAAGAAATCAATGCAAATTGTAATGCTAGATAGAGTATTAATATTATGAATATAGGGCTGTAATTGGTTGCAGATTAATAAAACTGTTCTCAAACTAGCCTCTCTTTGATTTGAATCATATGGTGAAAAATTAGATATGTATATCTTGTAAAAAAGATTGGTATAAGATTT